AGTGAGTGCATGAGTGTGTGTCACCACCGGGCCACGGCCACCTTGTCAGCCTTTTTTGTTCTCTGGTTTTTCAACTCACCACAGGGCATGACCCCCCTGATGTACGCCTGTGTCCGTGGGGACGAGGCCATGGTCCAGATGCTGCTGGATGCCGGAGCCGACCTGAATGTGGAGGTGAGAGTGCAGAGGGTGGCAGTCCCCAGGGGAAGGCAAACAAGGAGTGGGGACTTCCTCACACGAAGGTCACCCCACCGTCCCTGGTGTGGCTGTGGCCAGCGTGAGAACCGCTGAGGCCCCAGCCCGGGCAGCCCCCCAGGAGCTGCCCTCGGCCATATTGTGTGTCAGTAGGAAGGCTGTAGCTGGGGGGAGCCAGGCTTTGCCCCAGCGCGGCAGTAGAACCCCTGGTTCTCACCGCTGACCCGTCCCTGCTGGAAGCAGGGTAGGAAGAGCGCCTGAGCCGGCAGCCCTTCTGCTGGGCCTCATCCCATACAGAGGAAGTGCCGAGCGCTGGGCTGAGGTCCACCACCCGGCGTGGAGGCCACGTGGGGTGACGTGAACAGCACACGGCCACAGGCTATAGAGCAACTGCCTTGCTCTCAAATTCCGAAACCACCGCTGGCCTTGGTGACTTGCTTTGGAGCCTGGGCAAGTGGCTTCTCCTCTCCCAGCCCCGGGGGCCCCCATGGAAAATGGGGGAACAAAGCACATCCGTGTCAGGGAGCTGTGGGAAGAGATTAGGGTCCAGAGGACCTAGCATATGTCCTCGGCTAAAATCCATTTGCCGCTGGCCCAGCCTCGTCGGGGGTGAATCCCACCTGCCTGCCCTGCTCTGTGCTGTCTTGAGGCCCGCTCGCCCTGGCATGCAGACGTTGGCAGCCTCCGAGGCTGGGAACGTGGACCTCCTACCATCCTAATTCAGTGACCCCGGGCAACCTTCTAGCTTCAGATTCCAGGGCCTGGCTTCATACAGAGGGCTTTGTTGTTGCTGTGAGTCAGAGAGCTTGATGATCCTAGTGGCGCAGTGGGGTAGGTGTTGTGCTGCTCACTTCAGGGCTGGCGGTTCAAACCCAGAAGCTGCTCTGTGAGAGAAAGATGAGGTTGGCTGCTTCCGTGAAGGTCTTGGTAATCCTAGGCAGGGTCACTGTGGGTTAACATCAACCTGATAGCAGCGGGTTTGGTTTGGGGTTTATTTCTCTGAAGAAAGCGGACAGGAGAAGGTTTAGATCAGAACCATGGTGGATCATGTATGTTTCAAGTATGGGGCATACTTTTATTTACCCCCTGAGCTTCGGATCCCCAAGAGACGAGCTATGAAGATTCCCCCCTTGCCCCAAGGACTGCGGAGACCCCTGCAAGGGCTTCTTGGTGTTAGGTTATGGTAGTGGGGTGTTGTCTGGTCTACCCCTTCCCTGACAGAGCTCAATCACCAAATGCGGTGGGTTTGGTGGTCACTGTTCAGTAGGAAAGCCATGGATGGATGCGACCATGCGGGACCCCAACTTTCTGCTGCTCTGTCTCCTCTCTCTTGGTCTGGGGTATGTTAGACACCCTCCCCCACACCGAAAGACCAGCACTAGATAGCTCATCTATGATGGGTCCCCTGAGCCCAACAGCATGTGGGTCCCTGTCCTCTGGGAGGCCAGCAGGAGCCTGACACCGCCACCAGGGCAGTGTGGGAGGAGCTGAGATCAAACCATGGCATTTCTCCATCGGCTGGTGCCGTCTTTCTGACTCGAAAGCGTGAAGCAGATCTCACCTGACCGGGGGTTTGCCACCAATGAGAATGTTCCGTCAAGGCGTGGGCTGGGAGGGGGATGGTATTGGGCGCTCTTTCACACCCCCACCTCTCAGAACCTCCAACGCCCCATAAACACAAAGAGGTAACTTGAGGAAAGTGGGGGCGTGGCTCTCTCTAGCTTCTCCAAGGCCACTTAGAAGCGATCCAAACTGGTCCACTGAACTCCTGGCAGGTGAGGAGCAAGGGAGGCATTAGCAGGCGCCACATCCCTGAAAACTTTCCTTACTGCCCCCGTGGAGAAAGTCCCCCAAGCCCCACCTTTCAGCGGCTGCCTTTGGAGGGTGACTTCCCAGGTCTGCTTTTCCCAACACAAGCAGCACAGGTGGCCCGTTCTGGTGAGAGGTGTTTGGGGCATCCAACCGGGAGGGGGAAAGTCCCCACCCCGTGTCGCCAGTGGGTCCCCAAGCACCTCTTGGGCTGGCCTTTTCTACATCTCCAGCCAACATACCTCACCACAGAGAGGCCCGATTCCCGAGTGCCAGTATTGTCAAGGTCACATTGTAAAAATAACTTCGATTTGTTTGTAGGTTGTCAGTGCTCCTCATAAATATCCATCTGTCCACCCCGAGACCCGCCATTGGACGGCTCTGACCTTTGCTGTGTTGCATGGACATATTCCTGTAGTTCAGGTATTAACGCATTCCCAACCCACACCCGCCCTCCCAGCGCGCTCTCTCTTTCTCTCCCAGCATGCAAATCCCCTCCAAGACTCCTATTGGTTAACTGCATGGAAATAGAGCGCATTCATATCATCAGAAGGAGGATGTTCTATGGAATGCTCTACAGTTGCCTGGCTTTAACCAATACGCAGTCACGTGTACACACAGGCTGCCTCACCCAGGAGTGCCAAACCTGGGACAGTCTTCCCAGTTGCTCCAGGGGGAGGTCTGGCCAGCCGTTTGGACTTGGTCGTTGTACTGGTTGCAAGGTGACCAGAAGACTTGGCCTGTGTCGAGACCTTGGAACCTCGCCTTAGGTGTGACCCCAGTGGCTCCCAACCAGTGAGTGACGAGACACATCTGAGTCACCCCCACTTCTTGAGATTCTGACCCAGGAGGACTAGAATGGGCACTGTCTTCTGAAAAGCGAGCTTCCCAGGTTTGGTGAGATGTCTTCCTAAGAGGTCCTTTGGGCAGGTCACGCTAGAAGATGTGCACCCTTTTTCAGGCTTGTGTGGAGGGGGTGTTCGAAGAATACCACGCAGTACATGCCAGGTCTCCAGCTTGGCCTTCGGTTTATCAGAAAAGCAGGCTCATGACCTGATGTGACCCTAAGCGAGCCCCGAGCTGGAGGTGCCTCAGGAATGCGCCTCCTTTGATCGGGTCCAGCCTCGGAGGATTATAGAGAGCAGGAGTGAGGGTTCAGAAGGACATCTCTGCCAAGCTGGGGTCTTGTGGGGCTCTCTCTGGTTGTTTCCCGGGTCCTGGGGATCCCGAAGACAGACTCAAACCAACAGCTCACTGAGAGCGGGCTCCTGCCTGTGGACCATCATGCCCAGTCCATTTCTAGAAAAGCAATAGCAAGTGGAGGTCGGATGGTGGCCTTGGTGGGGAGGGGGAGACACAGATGGCACTTCTGAACATGCAGTGGCATCGCCGGGGTTTACATCAGGAACGTGTGCGCTGGGCAGTCGAGTCATACCCAACAGGTGTCAAGTCACCTCCTTGTGCAGGTGCAGCTAGCATCCTGGCGTGCCCAGCCAGCAGCCCCCTCTTGGCCATGCCTCTTGATCAGAGATGGCAGCCCTGCAGACACAGTAACGATGGCAGGGTCCGTTCCTTTTTACATCAGTGGTGTTGGCAGCAGTTCCCTGAGCAAGTGCCAACCGAGATGGACTCTCTCCCTTTAAGAAGCGCAGATGTCTTGGGGACTGCACAGAATGGAGTCGTTCCAGGCAAACCTCGGCATTTCATTCCGCTGCTTTGTGGCCTGATCTTCCTGGCCAGGACATGTGGCCCTTGCTAGGCTGTCCTTGGAGCCATGCAGGGTGTTCTAGAAGAGATTCTTGCCCGGGGTGGGTTGGCCAGGTGGTTCTTGGAACTCTCCGGATTCTAAGCGATCACACTGATGTCCTCTGTGACGTTAGGGGACCAGCCCAAGAAGGGCATTGCCCAGCACTGTAGTGACAGCGGCTTCTCACTCAGTGCTTCTAGAAAATTCAATGTGCTGTACAGCCACCCAGGCACTTGTTAAAATGCAGACTCCCCCCAGTGAGGTCTGGCCGGGGAGCTGGGAGGCGCCATTGCTAATGAGCCCCCCCAGTGGGGATGCTGGGGTTGTCGGGCTGGGGACCACAAAGGTACAATTGCCACCCAGGGCTGGGAACGTGGGCACTGACCCCCAGGGTGGGATGGAGCAAGGCATCCAATTCCCCCCAGTGTTAGTGCACTGCCACCCTTACTGACGGCTCCTGGGCATGGCCGGTGTGTGGGCCCTTTAACCGTCTCACCACTGTTCTTTCTCCGCAGCTCCTGCTGGACGCTGGGGCCAAGGTGGAGGGCTCTGTGGAACACGGGGAGGAGAACTATTCCGAAACGCCCCTCCAGCTGGCAGCCTCTGTAGGTGAGGATCGCTGAATCTCCCCCCAAGCCGGGGGAGGGGGAGGAGGACTTCACCACACTGGCCCCGGATGTGACTGTGCACGTTCTTTATTCTCTCATAAAAAAAAACACAAAACCTTCTCTGGGCTTGCAGGAAATTTTGAGCTGGTTAGTTTGCTGTTGGAGCGTGGCGCGGATCCCCTGATAGGAACCATGTACAGGAATGGAATTTCCACCACCCCGCAGGGGGATATGAACTCTTTCAGCCAGGCCGCAGCCCACGGACACAGGTAGGCTAGGATGGGACAGCGGCACAAGGTCCCGGCGGTGCTTGTTAAAGATGCAGATTCCCAGGCTTAGCCCAGACCCACCTGCCTCTCCAGATTCGGGCCAAGAGGCAGTGAGAGTGGTCCAGGCCTGGCGGGAGGGGCCCAGAGCTCTGCCAGCTCTCTGCCGAGGCCCACCGTGGGCCGTGGACAGCTGGCAGGCAGAAGGACTTGCTGTGCCCCCTCTCAGCCGGCTGTGCCCTCGCAATGGGGCTGGGCCAGTCTTGACCAGAGTCCAGCACGTCAGCTGTCATTGAGAGAGAAGGAACCATTAGACAATCACAAAGCCCCTAATGTTGGTTACTTCCTTTCTACGCGTCCCTCCAGCCAGCCTTGGTGACACGTGACCCCAGAAAAATCACACAGCCACTCTGTGGGGTTCTTGGGCCCCGGGGTACAGGTCAGGGGGCGGGGCCTTGCTCTGCCGCCTTCAAGGACATTGGTTAACTCCAAGAAGGCCATCGCCTCCAGCGCCCCCATCTCCACATGGAACCCCCATCGGGTCAGGCCTCTGAGACCCCCCTACCCCCAAGTTGGTCTTGTCATCTCCTGTCCCAAGTGCCCCCCACAGCCCCACCCTGGTTGCACACCAGCCCCGCCCCGGCCCGTGCCCCGCCCCCACGGCAGCGCCGCCGCGTGCATCTCTGAGTGTCTTCCTCTCTGGGTTTGTGATTGACAGGAATGTGTTCCGCAAACTGCTCGCGCAGCCAGAGAAGGAGAAGAGTGATATCCTGTCCCTGGAGGAGATTCTGGCCGAGGGGACTGACCTGGCCGAGACCGCCCCGCCCCCCCTGTGCGCCAGCCGCAACAGCAAGGCCAAACTGAGAGCCCTGAGGGAGGCCATGTATCACAGCGCTGAGCATGGTTACGTGGATGTCACAATTGATATCAGGAGCATAGGTCAGTCCGGGCGCCCTCCACCGCCGGGCACGTGCCGCAGCCCCGGACCTAGGACATATGCACAGCCGCATATAGACACACGCACAGATGTGCATGCCTATATAGATACATGTACAGCCTGTATACAGATATGAGTAGGTACGCAGGCACACATGCACGTACGTGCGCATGCACATGTATGTGTACACGCATATCCGCACAGACACATACATAGACACCTGTGTGAACATGTTATGTACATATACACACACATGAATGTCCACCCCTACATACACAGGCACGTGTGCATACACATGTGTGCATATACATATGTATACCTGTATACACAGATGACTATATATGCTCACAGACATGCATGTGCATGCATGTAAACACAAATGCCTAAATACACAGACACACATATATGTACACACCTTTATACACAGGCACCTCCACATGCGCGTTCACACCAGTTCAGATGCATGCATATGCACATGCACACACCTTTATGTGCAGAGACATGCACACGCACACTGACTTGTATGCACACAAATATACACACGCATGTACACATATACACCAAAACAAGGTCACTGCCATCGAGTTGCTTCCGACTCAGCATCTCTGTAGGACAGGGCAGAACTGCCCCTGTGATGTTGCTCAGACTAAATCTTTATAGAAGTCGAAAGCCTCATCTTTCTCTGCAGAGTGGCTGGCAGTTTCAAACTGCTGACCTTGCAGTTAGCAGCCCAACTGGTAACCCACTATGCCACCAGGGCTCACATATATATGTGTAAACATAACATACACAGACATGTGTGCACACACATATACATGCATGTGTGCATGCATGTATCTATATACATATGCACAAATGCATGCACACACAAACAGGTACATACATGCACTTATATACACAGATACAGATACACATACATACTCCAACATAAATGTGCGTATACACACACATACATACACCCACCACTCATACACACACATACATGCGCGCAAGCACATGCACCCCACCAGGGCCCATTGACAGGTTGGGGCCATTTCAGGCTACAGCACCCACATGATTCCAGAGGCAGCAGCCCCCTGCCAGCCCCCCAAATCGGCCCTCACTGACTCCCACACTCAAGACCCCAGGGTCGGGAGCCCTAGTCACCCAGGGCACTCATGTGGAATGCAGATTGCCAGGCCCTGCCTCCAGAGGCTCTGCTGTCGCGGGTCTGGCTGGCTACAGGCTGGAAATCTTTATATTTAACAATCATCCTGGGGGGATCGCTGGGGATCGCTGCCTCGGAGCACCCCACCCCATGGAGCGTGGCCGTGCCCTGGGGCCCCAGAGCTTCTCTTGGGTGTGCCCGGGACCCTGGGGGCCTGGGGCTAATGAAGTTAGCACAGGACCTAGCCTCAGCCCTAACCTGGGAGCAGGGGTAGGGGGTGAAGCCCCCACCCCCACCCCCACCAGGGGTCTCAGGGGAGGGGCCTACCAGCCCACACTGCTTAGGCATCCAGCCTCTGTGGGAGGTGGCTCTTTCACATTCAGCATTTTCGCCACCGCCAGTGGCCCCATCTCCTCGTTTGAACGGGCAGGAGATGTGTGCTCTCTCACCTGGGTCTACCCTGGAGAGGAGAGGAGCAAATGGCAGCCATCGGCTGCTGGAGAGGTGGCTCTCACAGAGGAAGACCCACCCAGTGTAGTGACTGCAGGAGGAACTTTTGTTTCCACCAGAAGCCACGACAGTCTGCCTTGGCGGCTCCCTCCAATGTAAATATCCGTGGGAGCGAAGCAGACAACTGGGGCGTCAGTGGAGGGGCCTCCCCAGCCGGAAACCCTCATCTGGCCGGGATGAGCCGCCATGTCCGGGGCAGGGCCCTTCCATTCATTGAGCTCCTGTCTCCCCCAAAAGTAAAGGAAACAGAAAGGAACCAAGTCAGACCCCAGGAGGGTGTGCCCTGCAGATGACCGAGTTGGAGTCCCGGCTCGATCTTAGGGTGCAAAACGCCGTCCGTCATCCGTCCTAATGGCCGTGGGATCACAACCTTGCATTTGAACTGGTGCAAGTCTTGCGGGGGCGGGGCGGGGGGGGTGGGGAACCCCCACACTGGCGCCATCGGTACACAACCAGCCCCTTTGAGCTTCTTCATTTGACCGTGTCCTGGAACAAAGCCAAGTTTCCAAAACCACACTTTCCCTTCTGGCTGTTTCCCCTGCCCTTCCCCTCCCTGTCCCCTCCCGGTCTCCTGCGACCCTTCCAGGTGTCCCGTGGACTCTGCACACGTGGCTGGAGTCCCTGCGGGTTGCCTTCCAGCAGCACCGGCGGCCCCTCATCCAGTGCTTGCTGAAAGAGTTTAAGACCATCCAGGAGGAGGAGTACACGGAGGAGCTCATCACCCAAGGCCTGCCCCTGATGTTCGAGATCTTGAAAGCCAGCAAGGTACGAGGGGTCTGGCGCCCTTGAGGTTGCAGGGGGAGAGCAAGGCTGGACAAGCACAGGTCTAAATGGGCCCTGTGCCCGCGGTGGACCCCACGTACCTGGGCACCGTATCGTATCATCTGTGGGGCCTGCAGTTCTGCTAAGCATCTATTGTGGCCCAGGAAGGAGGCTCATAATGTGGTGACATATGGAGTGGGTCATTCGTCGTACTGCGAACGGCGAGGTCCACAGTTCTAAACCCCCAGCCGCCCCGAGGGAGAAAGAGGCAGCTGTCTGCTCTGGTAAAGATTTATAGACTCGGAATCCCTCTGGCATAGTGGTTATGTGTTGGTACAGCTAACAACAAGATCGGCAGTTCTAAACCCCCAGCTGCTCTGAGGGAGGAAGACGGGGTTGTCTAGACCCATACAAAGTTACAGTAGTGGAAACTCACAGGGGCAGTTCTATATCCTGTCCTGTCGGGTCACTGTGAGTCAGCATCGACCGGGGACAGCAGTGAGTGAGGGTATGTTGGGGTTTGATGGGGCACAGTCAACTGGATGGCAGTGGGTTTGACTGTAGTGTCTTCTGTCCCCGGAGTCCCTGGGGGGCACATAGTTCATGGACTAGAGGTTAGAAACCCCCCAGAGGAGGGCTTGCTTCTGAAAAATCAGCCATTGGAGGGCCCCAGGGAGAACAGTTCTTTGATACGCAGGCAGCTGCTGGGAGCCAGCACCTCGGCCACTGGTGATGGTGCCCCATAGCTCTCAGGTACATGTGGCCTAAGATGTTATCTTTCCCACCAACGAAGAAGCACTGAAGCTGGGGAGACCTAACCCAGGTGGGGAGACCTAACCCAGGTGGGGAGACCTAACCCAGGTGCTCCAGGAACACAGGAGGCTGTTCAAAAGCGGTGCTGCATCAGAGGGCGGTCCCAGCTGTGACAGGGGTGGGAGCTCAGCAGGGAGGGAGAGAAGGGCAAGCATCACCTGTGTGCGGGGGATGAGAACAGACCTGGGGGTGAGCAGGTAGGAACCCACCAGGGAGAGGGCATCGTGAAGCGCTCCCGGGATCAAGAGGACCCTCCCTGCCGAGGATCTGGAACCCCAGGTTAGGTTTTTCAGGTAGAAAAGCCAGGATGTTTCACATACTCCATCCCTGGCCTCCTTCTCATGCCTGCCAACACCTACCCCCACCCACCCCCACCCAGCCCGGAGGAGCCAGAGCCAGTGAGGAGGGGACTGCAGGGAGGTGGGCCCCACAAAGATGACGCCGAAACAGCCGTCCGGAAGATTTCACTGCACAGAGCAGAACTGGGTTCCTTTTTATGGAAAACCGCAGCGGCCCCACCCCCCTGTAGTTATAATCACAAAAATATTTTTCATTAGTCTGGCTCACGTGTGTCAATATGCATATTCCTAGAAGGCTAAGGAGGAGTCCGGGTGGCATAGTGGTTACACGTGGGGCTGCTAACCTGCATGGTCAGCAGTTCCAAACCAGCAGCCGCTCCTCTGGATAACGACTTTCTACTCCTGTAAACAGTTACGGTCTCAGAAACCCACGCGGGCAGTTCTGCCCTGTCCTATAGGGTCACTCTGAGTCGGCCTCGGCTCGATGGCAGTGAGTGTGGCTTTTGAGGCTGGGCACTAGCAGTTAAGGTGGCTTTGCGATAAAATAATAAAGTTTACAGAAAAATCCACTGAGGTTGAGAACGACATCATACTTGGTAAGGTTGAGGGTCAGCAAAAAAAAAAAAAAAATCAAACAGGTACTGCCTCTCCATGGGGTCGATGACCAGTCTCAGAGACCGGGAGGATAGGACCCACACACGTCCGTGCGCACCTGGCCCTGTTCTCAGCTGCTTTCCGGCGTTCACTCGTGGGATCCGTGGGATCCCATTGGAGTGGGGACTTTTCTTGGCCCCATGTAGCTGACGGGGAGCCCGAGGCCCCTGCTAGAGGTCACACCGTTGTTACCGAAGAACAGGGTTGCTCTGTAGCACCCCCTCCCTCTTCTGCTGTGCCTCCAGGGTCCTGTACGACACTGTGGTTGTGCGCTTGGGGAGTCCGTTCGCTCACAGCGAGCCAGTGTCAGAGGGAAACTGCCCCGTGGGTTTTCTTGGCGGTGACCTTTACTGGGGAGCCCTGGTGGCCTAGTGGCGATGCGCTGGGCTGCGATCCGCAGTTCGAAACCACCAGCAGCTCCATGGGAGAGAGACAGAGCTTTCTACTCCTCTAAAGAGTTACCATCTCAGAAACTCACCGGGGCAGTGCGCTGAGTCGGCAGTAAGTTTGGGGTTTTGGGGAACCTTCACAGATGGCAGGCGGCGGGGTTGTGTCTTTCTCTTACAGAGCCTCGGGTGGGTTTTTCCCACCACCCTCTCCATCAGCAGACTAGCTCTTAACTACGGCACATCTAGAGCTCCTTCTGAGAAGAGGGGGCCTGGGAAAGCTCAGGGGAAATTGGCCTCTGAGCCAACAGGCAGAGCGGGCCCCCGAGGCCAAGCGCCACCGAGGGTCTGCCTACTAAGAGTGAAGCAGGCACATGGAGCTGCCTCCAGCCCCCGCCACCCCCCATTTGAGCCCAGAGTACCGGGCCTCTGTCCACAGGGAGCCTGGGAAGGCGCTGGCCCCCCTGGGGGCTGGGGCTGTGCCTGATGTCAAGCCCCATGGAGTCCCAAAGTGGGAGCAGGTGTGCCGGCCCTCGAGTAATGAGCCTCGGTGATTCCCTGATGTGCCAAACCTGCTGGAAGCATTTCAAAGCCAACTCTCCCCAGTCTCTTTATTTTCATTTTATAAAAATAAAAAGGCTTTCACATCCATCTTTGCGGCAGGCATTGGCCGGTCTGCTCCTGGGGTCTGCCATTCTCTCACATGCGCTTCTCCGTCTTTGGGGGGCTTTCGTGGAAATTCCAGACATGACTGAGATGTCCTTTGTATAAAGTAAATTGAATCTGTGACTTGTTTTAAGTCTACTATTGTGTAGTCTAAAATACACCTACAAAAGCAACCAAGCCATGGGGTTGAGCTAATGCACACGGGGCAGATTGTCCAATAAGCAAGACTGCCTTGTGCGTTCTTATTAACCCACAGTGCATAGCTTCGCATATTTTCCACCACATACTCAACCCCTCCCCTGTTAGGGATGGTAAACTTGAAAAAAGGCTTTGATAATGTAGGAAGGGGCTGTGGGGCTGGGAGAGAGACAGAGGCCAGCCAGCCTTCAAAGCAGAATCTCTGAGGAGGTGGGGAGAAAAAGTGAGACTGTTCACTACAGAGTAGTAAGTATGCACAAGTGAGCTCCTGCTTGCCTGGCGCACCAAGTAGTCCCACACTGCTGATGAATTTTCACACAGTCATGTGCCCCTGTGTACACAGCACCAGACCAAGAAATGGGGCATGAAGGATCTCTGGTAGCATAGTGTTTACACATTGGGCTGCTAACCACAAGGTCCGCAGTTTGAAACCACCCACTGCTGCGGGGAAGCTGGGAGAGGAAGAGGGAGTGGGAGAGAGAGGGGTGAGATGCTTTCTGCCCCGTAAAGATGGACAGTCTCAGAAACCCATGGGATTGCTATGCATCCTAACGGACTTGTTGGGAGGGAGGGAGTTTGAACACCTGGCAGCCTACCCCAGCCACCGCTCCCCAAAGTGGGAATCACGCTATGGACTTCTGACGCTGTACTTCATCACTCCTGGAGCCCTGACCTGTTGGCACCTACACATTTTAATAGGTGTAGGATACTCCTTAGAGCCCGACTCCATGGTGTAAGAATCTACAGGACCCCTGGCGGCATAGGGGTTCTGCGTCAGACTGGGACCCCGGCGGCACTTTGAAACCACCAGCTGCTCCTTGGGAGAAAGACCAGGCTTTCTGCTCCCAAAGAAAGAGTTACAGTCTCAGAAACCCAGGAGGGGGGGCAGTTCTACCTCGTCCTATGGGGTCACCATGAGTCGGCATCAACTCCATGGCAGAGATGGTGCTAACCACTCTCCCATCATGAAGGTGTGATGCTGGAATCCTTTGTCACCGCCAATGGTGTGGCAATCAGAATGGGTGCCCTCCCACACCCCACGGAGGTCATTGGACACCATCCCTGGAGGGTAGAGATAGTTCATGTACTCAAAGGCTCCCTGCAAGGTTGGAATTTTGAGGTCACCTTGAAGTCCCTCAGAAGAAAGGCCTGGCAACCTGCTTTGGGGCAGTCCTTGAATACCCCATGGGGCACAGTTCTGCTCTGACACATGGGGTGACCAGGAGTCAGAATGGGCTTGGCAGCAACGGTGGGGGGGTGGGGGTGGTAATGTTTTACAAGGGAGTCAGGGCTTTGAACTGGTTCATTCCAGTTAGGCTCCGTGCTGAGAATCTGCCTTTCCATCTCGGCTTGGTCAAGTAGAGGGCCAGTGGAGAAGGAAGCCCGTCAACGAGGTGGATTGACACGGTGGCTGCGCGATGGGCTCAAGCACAGGAGCAGCTTTGAGCTGGCGGGACCAGGCAGTTTCCTTCCGTTGTGTGGGAGGGTGGCTGTCAGTGGGAACCCACAACTAATCCTGTCCCTTAGTCACTGTGAGGCAGAACTCAGCTCAATGAAAGTGAGTTTGGTTTGGTCCAGAGATACAAAGGGGCTTTCAAAACGGAATTAACAAATCTAAAACAGTTCCACGAACTTTTTGAAGATCCTTGCATCTACATTTCAACATGGTCTTATGAACACAAGAGTCACTTGGGGTCTTGGGTTTTTTGTTTGTTTTTTTAAAGGGTGGGGGCAGAGAGATTCTGAATCCGTATACATGGGGTAGAAATGAACCAGAATGAACAGAAGTTGTGCTCATGGGAGCCCAAGACGACGGAGCCCGCCGGGTCTCCGGAGTCTGGGAGCCCCAGGGAAGCAGGTGTGCAATGGCTCAGCAGAAGGAGACCGGAGACTTCAGGGCCAGTCATCAGTGTCTGACAGCTAGAGAGTAGGGCAGGTCAGTGCCAGTGTCACCAACAGCTCTGGCAGCAGCTGGGAGGCGGGGAAG